TGGCAAGATGTGGGGTTGACGCGGACGTCGGAGGTGGAGGTTCGGGTGTTTGGTTCGTTACTTTGGTCAAGTGGCAACAGCCACGTGACAAGTGACGGAGCCTAAAAGTGATAGCGAGAGAGACGAGATCTTTTCCAGTTGCACGAACTGGAGGAGGAGATCTGCCCATGGACGGGGAGAGTTATCTGATAAGTGCCTAGAGCCTGTACGGCAACACTTTCACACCCTTTTCTTCCTCGAACGTCAGTAGACTAGAGCGAGAGTGGAGATACCTATTAGCAGGCGGAAGGGGATGACGAGAGGTTGGAGATGCATGTCAGTGTGTGAGGAGATGCCTTGGCGTGCTATTCCTGGCTACCTGATTACCGGCAGAACCCCCTGCAAGATGAATGGAATTGCGCACGGGCCTATTCGCGGACAAACATCCTATCAGATAAGCGCGCAGGCACCAGCAGGAACGGTGCTTGAGCCCCTGGGGAAACTTTCGCTCATCCTCTCTTTCTCGACCATGAAATCGCGCATCGTCGAGGCCAACCACGGCCGAGCAAGGCCAGTATGGCAGTCTGGGGCAGCATCACAGCCTGAAGAGCATACCACCGCTGTACCTGTACCACTCCACAGCGCTGACTCTGGCTTCACTGTCTCCCCTCGATGCGATGTCAATGGCGACGCGATGAAACAACTATACTCTGTTACCCCCCGATACCCCGGGGCTCCACGATGAGTGTCTCGCCCACCCATCAGGTACATGCTTCCCTTCCCACACTTTTCCTAATCGATCAACAGGAACAGCTCCCGTTCATGCTTTAACACCACTCACATCTTTAATCGTTCTTGCCGTCTCGTAAACGATTTTCGGCCGAGCACCCGCTCCAACAAATGATATCTCTCCAAAAACCATTCTTTTCCCCTCTCCAGAACTCTCAACCAGTGGCCAACGATATATATCAAGGCCTGATCCACCGCCTGGTCCCCCTCACGCCTTCAAGCACCCCCTCTACTGTTCTCTTACCCGACAAAACACAATCGTTCCGACAAGATGGTCGCCCTCACCGCCTTCCTTCCTATCCTCTCTCTCTGTGCACTGTCTGCCAGTGCCGTCAACCTCCAGATCAATGTAAAGCACCCCGCCGCCGACTGCGGAGCCGGCTGCAAAGACATCCTCACCTCCTTTTCTTTCGGCGACATGGACACCACCTCCACCTCCTACTACGGCATGTACTGTTCCTCCGACCTCTGGCGACAATCTCTCGCCCTCTGTATGGAGACCTACTGTACTGGTGCCGAAGCCCGCGCGGGCTGGGCGCAAATGGCGGGGTACTGTGTCGAGTACGGAGACGGTAACGATTTCGGAGAGGAGCAAACGTACTACAACGCCATCGCCGACATTTCTGCCGTCCCCACCGTCAACGGCCTCGACGCCGACGCTCTGCTGGTCACTTACAACGAGACTATCTTGCTCAGAGAAGGTGCTTGGCTCGCTGGTTACAAGACCGAGCTCGTCTGGGATTTGACTTACATCTACGTACGTCGCTTTGTCTCTTCTCCTCTCTTTTCCTTGACGCTAACATGGTGCTAGCACAACGCTTTCGGATGGTCCATCTACATTCTCGTCGGCCTCGCTCTCGTCGCTGGTATCCTCCGCCGAGTCTCCGACGCCTACCGCACCCACCTCATCACCAAGACCGGCCGTGCGGTCGACCCCTCCGAAATGGCCCTCGCACCCCAAGGCTTCTTTGGCAAGCTCGAGACACGATACGAGAAGTTCCTCGGTACGCCTGCGTTGATCCGCAAGAAGCACGTGCAATCATTTGCTTGGTTCTCTTTGCCTACTAGGTTGGAGGGTGCTTGTGTGGGTCTTTGAGTTCGTGACTTTCGAAGGATAGAGCTGATGAGGGTGATAGATTGCGTTCTATGTGCTTTTGAACTTCCTCTACTGCTTTGTCGGATACAACCTCTTCCACGAGAACCAGTAGTACGTCCCTGCCCCCTCCTCTTATTCTTAACTGCAAAGCTAACACGCCCACAGCTGGGACACCTACTCTGCCCAACTCACCCGATACGTCGCCGACCGAACCGCCATCCTCTCCTTCTTCAACCTCCCCATCATCTGGATGCTTGCTGGCCGAAACGACGTCATCCTCTGGCTTACTGGATGGTCTTTCAGCAGTATGAACGTCTTCCACCGATGGGTTGCTAGGGTTTGTACCGCGCAGGCTATCATCCATTCTGCGTAAGTACTCTTCTCTTTGGCATGGGGACAGAGACTGATACGGGTGTTAGGGCGTGGACTTACCAAGAGCGAGATGCGCTGGCTACTTCCTTCCAGGAGATGTACTGGGCTACCGGCATCTTCGTACGTCCATCCCCTCTTTCTTCTCTTGGGGCGAAACTGACATACTCCAAAGGCCACTGTCACCATGTCCCTCCTCCTCCCCTTTTCCGTCAAGCCCTTCAGGAAGAAGTACTACGAGGCTTTCTTGATCATCCACATTGTCCTCGCTGTCGCTACTTTGACTTTGCTCTTCTTCCACTTGACCGTGTACGATGGTGAATACGACCCCTTCATGTGGGCTTGTGTCGGTGTCTGGGTACGTCCTCTCCCTCTCTACCTCAAGAATCACAAAACTAACATTCATATAGGCTTTCGACAGGCTTATGCGATACGTCCGAATCTTCTACCTCACCTTCAAGGCCGCCAAGGGCAACAACGCCACCATGGTCGCCACCGGCGGCGAGCACGGCCTCATCCGACTCTCTGTCACCACCTCCCTCAAACACACCCCCACCCCCGGTATGCACTACTACCTCTACACCCCTCTCTCCATCACCCCTTGGGAGAATCACCCCTTCACCCTTGCTTCTTGGCACGAGGAGAACGGCGCTACCGTTTTGGACTTTCTCATCGGTACGCAGAAGGGTGCTACGGGAAAGATGAGGAGGATGGTTAGGAAAGCTGAGAATGGTGTTGCCAACCTTCGAGTGCTTGTGGAGGGTCCTTATGGACACACTGCTTCTGTCCGACGATTCGATCACGCCCTCTTCGTTGTTGGTGGCTCCGGTGTCACCGCCGCCTTGCCCTACTTGCACGACCTCAAGCAGCGCACTTCCTCCAACGGCAGGTGTGTTACTCGAGAGGCTACTCTTGTGTGGATCATCAAGAACAACGAGTACGCCGCCGATGTGCTCGCCAACGAGCTTGCTGCTGTGCGCGATGTCGAGGGTTTGGATGTCAACGTCCAGATTTACATCACTGCTTCCTCTGGCGTCACTACTCCTTTGGTGGAGCAGGCTCAGATCCAGGCTATCCCTTACTCTACCGACGACTCTTCCCCTGTCACTTCCCCCACCGCTGAAAAGACCCTCGCTTCCGCCGAAAAGTCGCTCAACTCTTCTTCCTCCTCCACATCCCTCGCGCCCAAGCTTTCCGGCAAGGAAGGTGTTCGCGCCGGTCGACCCCAGATGCGCGATGTCCTCTCCACCTCTCTCTCCAAGCTTGTCGGGTCTGAGACTTTGTGTGTGTTGGCTTGTGGACCGGGCGGTATGATGGATGACCTGAGGGCGGCTGTGGTGGATGCTTATGGTACTGAGGAGGGCAAGGTCGGCCCCGAGCAGCTGAGTTACTTTGAGGAGTCTTTTTCTTGGTAGATACGGTGTCTACATGGGATGGTGGTCTATATCACTTGGTCTTTGTTGGGTTTTGGATGTTATGATGTATATCCGGTAATACGCTACATGCTATGGGCTTTTGGGGCGAAAAATTTCTTTTCGGAAGTGAGCAACAAGATGACTAATTGTTCACAAGTGGAGCAGGAATTTCAAAACGACGGTCCTGAGAAGCGAGTTCGGAGCCTCCGGCCAAACGGACGAAAACAACCGCTTCGCGCTGATAGGGTGAAACGGAGATTTCAGCGCTCGCGCATACAAATTTGATTCCGCCGCACGGAATCTCCGGTATCTCCACTGCTATCATTGCCTATCTGGGCAATCGCTGGCTATCTGATAGCGCCCGTCCCTTGCGCCGAGCCCAGCCTTCGCTTCTGTCAATACATACACAACGAGCTGCGCTCCACAAGATACACAGGTTTGGAGCGGTCCGAATATGGCCATGAAGCGGAGTGGTGAACTGGAGTCTTCACTACCTGCCGCGGCCGCCTGAGCTTTACTTGTAGAGAAGGAATCTCCGTGTTGTTTGGGCCGTGATTGGGCAGGCACGCCCTAGTGCAGGACAACTAACGTACTCGTACCGTCCTTTTGGTACCATTGTGGAATGCATCTTCCTTTCGATGCCTGCAGCTGGCTCGCATCAAATGCCCACATCTTACAACTGGGAAGAATTCTCCAGTAGATGCATCAGATGCATGCTGAAGAGTGCACCCGAATTGCCCGTTCCCAGAAATTTACCGTTATCGGCCGATTCAGGGTCTGCGCCGCGCAGAAGGTCGATCGATGTCATCCTTCCAAGCGCTTCTTCCTCCGACAACTTTGCTCAAACGCATATATACCCGCATGCCGCTTCACTAATTCCCATCCCAGCCATCGCTCCCCCTCAACACCATGGGTTTCCTCACAAACTTCATCACCAAGAAGGAGGCTACCGTCGCCGTCACCAGCACCGCCGAACCCGGCACGGTCGGCAATGTCAATGTCCTCACCGACAAGGACGAGATCCCCCTCGAAGACACCGCCAGCGCCGACGACAAGAAGGCTCTGGGATTAGAAGAGGGTAACGGGGAGCCGGACTTTGAAGGAAGTGTGGTGAACGAGGACAAAATCGATGAAGACGCGCAGCCAGGTGTCAAGACTGCTCAGGCGACCACCTTGTCCTGGTCCAGAACGTCTCTGGTCATCCTCTACGTCTCGTGAGTCGCTTCTGCACTACCCTGACCATTCTGACCTCCCGCAGCATGTTCCTCCTCTACTTTGTCAACGCCTTCCAGTCATCAATCACCGGCAACTTGACCGCCTATGTCACGTCTGGCTTCTCTGCCCACTCCCTCATCCCCGTCATCAGCATCGTCTCCAACGTCATGAGCGCTGCCACATACATGCCTCTCGCCAAGGCCTTGAACCTCTGGGACCGTGTCTGGGGATTCATCATCATGGCCGGTCTTGCCACCATCGGTCTTATCCTCAGTGCTACGTGTAACAATATTGCCGTGTACTGTGCTTCTCAAGTGAGCATCTCCTCTCCCACCCCGTGCTTCACTGACCCTCGTTAGGTGTTCTACGGTATCGGATTTGTAGGCATGATCTTTTCCATCGACGTCATCACCGCCGACACTTCCCGTCTTCGCGACAGAGGTCTCGCCTACGCCCTCACCTCTTCCCCCTACATCATCACTGCCTTTGCCGGTTCAGCGGCATCCGAGCACTTTTACGACAGCAACTGGCGATGGGCTTTCGGTTGCTTCGCCATTGTCCTTCCTGTTGTCGCTACGCCTTTGATCTGGGTGCTCTGGCACAACAAGCGAAAGGCCAAGGCTGCTGGCATGATTCAGAGGGTCTCAAGCGGGAGGACGCCTTGGCAGAGCGCCAAGTACTACTTCATCGAGTTTGATGGTGAGTCTCTTCCTCCCTCGTATGCGAATCTCGTTGAAATCTGCTAGTCATTGGCGTTTTCCTCATCGCCGCCGGTCTCGTCCTCTTCCTCCTCCCCTTCTCTATCGCTTCTTCCGAGGCCGACGAGTGGCGCAGTGCTTCGGTCATCGTCCTTCTTGTCTTTGGCGTTCTCTGTCTCGCCGGCTTTGTCGTCTCTCAGCGTTGGCTCTCTCCCAAGCCCTTCGTCCCATGGCGTCTCCTCACCAATCGCTCCGTCATCGGCGCCTGCATGCTCGACTTCTTCTACCAGATCGCCTACTACTGCTGGTACTCCTACTTCACCTCCTATCTGCAAGTCGTCTTCAACACCTCCATTTCCGTCGCCGGCTACGTCTCTTCCATCTTTGACGTCGTCTCTGGTGTCTGGCTCATCATCGTTGGTCTCCTCATCCGAAAGACTGGCTACCACCGATGGCTTCTCATGATCTCGGTGCCCCTCTTCATCCTCGGCGAGGGTCTCATGATTCACTTCCGAAAGCCCGGAGGCCACTTTGGCTACATTATCATGTGCCAGATCTTCATTGCTTTCGGTGGTGGTACCATCACCATCTGCGAGCAGCTCGCCGTCCTCGCCGCTGCTTCTCACAACGACGCCGCCGCTGTCCTCGCCCTTCTCGGTCTCTTCGGCTACACCGGTGGCGCCGTCGGCAACTCCATCTCTGGCGCCATCTGGACCCACACCTTCCCCGAGGCCCTCCAAAAGTACCTCCCCACCGATGCTCTCGCAGACTGGGAAGAAATCTATGAAGATCTTGAGGTGCAGCTCGGGTATGAGTGGGGCTCGGAGACGAGGACGGCGATTATCGATGCGTATGCGGATGCGCAGACGAGGATGTTGATTGCGGGTACGGTGTCGATGGCGATTGCGTGGATCTTTGTGTTTGTGATCAAGAACCAGAAGGTGTCGGCGCTCAAGCAGACCAAGGGGTTGTTGTTCTAGATGTAGAGGCATGGTGATCATTTTAGTACACTAGTTTGGTGTTATCGGATTGTAATATGCATCGACTCTTATTGTCATAGTGTAGGGGCTTGTTCGATGAGGGTCTTCTATGATGTACGAGTACCGTAACACGTGCATATAGCATGCTCGACGTCTCGGAGGCTGGTGTCATAAAACCCCCTGGAACGGTGTTGGCAGCTAGATGATGAGCGATGATGATGATGATGCTGGCTATCAGTCAACAGAGGCGATGTCGTCTTTCAAAGTCGTGAGAGGTCTACCTGATTGCTGGGGAGAGGTGCCACGTGGGAAGAACCAGAGAAGAGCAAAAATGGTTTGGCAAGGAGCGTCCGTCGATATGTTCTTTCATGTCAATGTATGCACCTTCAGGTGTTAAGTTCTGTAAGAGGGTGAGAAAATAGAAAGTCTTCCCATGGAACCGTTCACGATATCTTTGAAAGGAGCAGACATATGAACATTTTTTCCCATCACAGTGTTCGAGCTGACAAACGATCAGCTGTGAAGTCTGGGATTGTCGTCCTTATCTCAAAACGAATCTCCGATACTCAGAGAAGGAGTGTCTATATAAGTATGGCCTTCTTCATGATCTCTAGAATCCCTACGTACTGCACAGCATTCCCCTTGTCTCCTTATAGCTGGGGTGTCACTTTCCACAGCAACACAACGATGTCTTACAGGCGCGATAACGAAACCAGATCCGAGCTGCTTGTCACAAACATCTTACTGGATGGGTCTTTTCCTGCTCTCAGCTCCACCTGCGCAGAGGGACAAGGCTCCAATAAGGATGAACCGCTTTTGCTAAGACACGTCGATCCGCCTCTGATCGAGACACGTTTCTCTATACGGAGCTTTCGAGAGAATGCTAGAGGCAGAAAAGTGCCGGTACCGGTGCCGACAGAGACTGAGGAGGCGATGATGAAATACCTGGACACGGTGGAGGCTTCCATCAAGAGTCTCGACAAGTATGCTGAGCCCTCAAAAATACAATGGGGTGACTCGGCAGCGGCATTCCGAGAAGAGACGCATCGAGTGTACACCCGTCAACAGAACCTACTCCGAAACACCATGGACGCCGTGTATATTGAGGAGAATAAACGACCGTTTACGTACCGCGTTCACTCGACTGTGGATGAGTTCGTGGACGATGGTGGTGAGCTGCTTGGTCGCAATGATCAATCGATGGACTGGACAGAGTATGAAGAGAGGCTGGAGCGTGCGGTGACAAGTGCCCAAGGAGTAGATGCGATATGTGCTGCATCATCACCGGATGTTCTCGATATGGTTTTCACTACCGAAGTTATTCAACCTACGACATTATTGGCCAAAACGGGTGAAGGAGAGACTATGGAGTGGAGGGTGTTAGATCCTAAAGCAACTGTCGCATGTCTGCTGATTAAAGATGACTTTCCGGAAACGTTCGGTAATGCTCCAGAGGCTTACGAGTCGTACTGTCAATCAATTTTCGAGGCGATGGAGAACGTTTATCTTCGCCCAGGAACCAACCTCGAATTGGGCCCAGCGACGACCGCCGAAGACTTTGTCCAAGATACAAGACGTTACGAGCAATCACTTGTACGGCAGGCGGCTTTCGCGAGCGCCGATCTGATGTCTGCAACAGGGAGGAGCCAACAGACGGATGTGGTGTTGCCGCGCGAGAAGGGAAAGACGAACGATGACGATGCAGCACAGGATAGTCAAGCGGTAAATGGGCGTCGGGTGAAGGTAGCATGGGTTGACTCGTCCATGTTTGATGTTTTGACTGGACAGCCATCGAAAGAGCCACATTACTACTTCAACAGGATCTCGAAGTATGAGAGCTCCATTGAGGAGGGTCTCGATAGGATGCGGAAGGCGCTGGGTGATAAAGGAGAGGAGGAGAATGACGTGATGGTGCTACCCGAAAGAACTGTATGGGGAACCTGGAAGTAGCGTTGGGACTTCCGGCAGCACGAGCCATAGGTAACAGCCCTACAGCAAATGCTCTTTTCACTTCAGTACTAAATATGATAATGATGATGTATGATACCATGACTTGCTGATGAACACTGCAGTAGCAAAATGACCCAACCTTTGCATGTACACTCATCATATCATTACATATTTCTCTATTGAAGAAGTCTCCGGTTCGCACACATCAAGGTTTCCCAGAATCTCCCTTCAAGTGATAACGAGATCAATGAAAGGGGAATCGAGAGTATATACTTCGTTTGGCCCGTTTTCACGAAGCCTCTGATCTTCAACAGTCTCATGTGAGATCAATCATACAAACTTTGGGAAAGGCGGATCTCCAAAAAGGAAGCCGTGCTTCGCTGATCCTTGAGCTCAGAAAGCTGATCAGGCTGGTCAAAATGATGGCTATTTTTTTTCCCTACATTCCTCACAGCCCCTACAATCTTTATTCACCGCGTCATCCATCAGTATCGGTGGTAAGACAATATGTCCAGCCCTATTAGAGATATCAGATCGGAGCTCCTCACCACGACAGTCTTGCTTGAGGGTTGTCTTCCCACTCTTACATCTACTGTTGCTGGCACTGGCGGTCGTGTTTTGCAAAGACAAGTAAAACACCCTCGTATTGAAGCACGCTCATCTCTCCGGAGCCTTTGCAAAAGCAGCGATGAGGGTGGAGAAGTGCTGGCTCCGGTGCCAGTGGAAACTCAAGAGGCAATGAAAACATACCTGGACGAAGTCGTTAGTATGTGCGAAAGACTTCAACAAGAGAGCCCTACTCGTCACGCCCTGCCACGTTGGAGAGATACAGCAAGAACGTTTCGAGATTACACTTATCGAGTTCAACACCATCAACAGTACCAGCTCTCGGAAGTCATGGGGCACGTGTATGCCTCGAGGGACTCGTGGCCATTCACTTATCATGTTTACCCAAATGTGAAGGAATTTATGGACAATGGCGGTGAACTACTTGGTCCGGAAGACCTGCCGATGGAACAGAACGAGTACGCCGACAGGTTGACGCGCGCGGTGAAGAGCGCGAAAGGTTTTGACGAGTTGGTTGAAGTATCACCCGACAAATAAAGATGGCTTTTACTACTGAGGTCCTCAATCCTCTAAGGCTGGTGAGATCCCCTCTTTCATACGAGGACGATGAAGAAAGATCGCTAGAGGACTGGGGTTTGTTGGATGCGGAAGCAAGTGTCGTTTGTAAAGTCACGGATGATTCTCCAGAATGGATCAAGAGAAACAGAGGAGCCCAAGACTCTTATGGCCGGTCAATTCTGAAGGCCATTGGAGCTTCTTTCAACCCTAGGAGCACTGTCGAACTAGAGCTAGAGACAACCGTGGATGATTTTGTGCAAGACACGAGGATTTACGAACATCTTCTTTTCCGCCACGCAGCATATACGACGGCTAGTCAGGTGTCTTTTATGAAGGACGGGGTTCATACCGATGAGTCTTTGCTGCATGCAATGGAGATGAACGGTGTAGAGGCCGATGAGGATGATACCATCGTGGACGGGCATCTGGTGAAAGCTGTCTGGCTTGACCCTTCCATGTTTGATGCTTTAACTGGAAAGCCGCCTAGAGGGCGGGAGTACTATTCTAAAAGGTTCTTGGAATATAGGGATTCGATCAAGGAAGGTCTTGCGACGATGCGGAGAGAATTCGAACAAAGGAGCGAGGAGGTAGATGGTTTTGTCACGACCGAAGCGAGGGAATGGGGGACATGGACCCAATGATTACTGATTTGTAGTAGTGCAGCCGAGGGTGGAGCGCTACTTGACTGGAAGACGATATATCGAGATGCATCGATGTATAGATGAAGAGTGTACCATTTGTCCAACCTCATGCATATTGATATTGAATTTCTAGACGCTGACGTTTGCGCTATCTATAGAGCCTCGGGGAAGGAAAGGCGGGGCGGATCAAAAACAGCAACAAGGAGCTCACACCGAAGGTAACAATCTTGCATCAGTTCAAATAAAGATACCATCAATCCCTTCGACCGAATCCAGAAAGTTGACGATGCGGAAAGAACTTGCGGAAGGGAGTAGCGCGGGGGAGAATAGTGCGCCTGAGGAGGTAGTATGGGGCACCTGGGAGTATTCCAATGTATGGTATAGTAGTGCAATGCACAGTACGAGTAGTTCAATGCACAGTAGTGCAATGCATCTGTAAGTAACAAATGACGTGACGAATGCAGGCTGAGTGCAGGTCGAGTGCAGGTTGAATGAGCCGAGTGGAGGCAGAAGCCCCCCGCGACCCGGCCTTCATGCCCCAGGGGCCCAGGCGGTCCGCCCACCGTCCCGTACGCCGCTAAGCCGAGCTATCTGTTGATTTCCATCTCATCCTGATTTCTCTTTCACAACTATACCCAATGGGCTCCACAATACCCTCTATCACCTCCCTCCTCGCTCAGTATCCTACCAGCCTCGCCCTCCTCGTCCTACTGAGCTCTATCTTGTTCACTATGCCCCTCTGGAAAAGCAAGAAACCGGCATATAAGCCCGAGGGCAAGGTACGTTCTTCATCCTCTTCCCTTCCCACAGTCAGTAAAGAGATCAAGGGGGGGCAGAGCTGATGAGGGGAAAATGTAGCATTGTTATATCACAGGCGGCTCGCAAGGACTGGGCAAAGCGCTGGCGGAGAGTCTGGTCAAGCAGGGTGCGCATGTGACTATTGTTGCGAGGGATGCGAAGAGGGGAGAGGGGGTAGTGGAAGAGTTGAAAGTGAGTTGTATGGTATTGAGGATGAGGACTCGCATCCGGTGGGGCGTCAGGCTGGTAGGGCGTCAGGCTGGTGTTGGGCCAGAGGAAGAAGGATATGAAGCGGATTACGAGGACCGCGCGACGTGTCGACACATTCGCTGATACCCTGCTCGTAGTCGCTCGCAAAGCCTGCTCAAATCATCCAATTCATCTCTGCCGACCTCTCCTCCCCGACAGATTCTGACCAAGCTCTTCTCGCCGCTTGCATCCCCCACAAAGGTCTCGCGCCAGACTACATCTTCCTCTGCGCAGGTTTCTCGCAGCCAAAGTATTTTATTGAGAATACGAAAGCAGAGATCAAATGGGTTTGGCATTCCCATCGAAATGATGATGCTACGGGACTGATGAGATGTACAGGGTATGGACGGCGTCTACCTCGTCTCAGCCTACACCGCCCACTCCGCCATCTCCCTCATGGTCTCCCAAAACCGCACCGGCTCTCTGACATTCGTCTCCTCCTTCCTCGGCTACACCTCCTTCGCCGGCTACTCCACCTACTCTCCCGCCAAATACGCCCTCCGCGGCCTCGCCGACGCGCTCCGGTCAGAAATGCTGCTGCACGATATTGCGGTGCATATTTTCCATCCGTGTGGGATTCTGAGCCCGGGGTATGAGAAGGAGATGATGACGAAGCCGGATGTGACGAGGAAGATTGAAGATGGGGATAAGCCTATCACGCCTGAGGAAAGTGTTGCGGCGCTGGAGAGTGGTGAGTTTTGCCCGCTTTGTGATATTGCTTTAGCTGATATGGGGCAGGTTTGAGAAAGGGCTACTACCAGATCACCGACAACCTCGTCGCCGACTTTGTCCGCCTCCGGGCTAACGGCGGTGTCCCTTCCAACAACTTTGTCCTCGACTGCTTTTACCTCTTCATCTCTTCCGCAAGTCCTCTTCCTCATCTAGCGTGTTGATCATGGGCTAATGGAAAGAGTAGTTTGGTATCCCTATCTGGAGGATGTTTGCGGATTCGATTGTCCGAGGTGGGCGCAAGACGATACATGAGGATTATGCGAAGAGGGGGTTCTTCCAGGGAGCTGCCCCTGTGGCTGAGTGAGAGATGAGGACCCAAGCATGCATGCTGTGTATAGATGGTACTTGATAGCCGTGATTTGTGTTCTGACTTGCGACCTCGGCAATATATACCACGATCGCGGTCCCTTATTTGGCTCGGAACCAAACGATTGGCCGAGTGCCCGAGTCGGCCCAAGCGCACCTCGCCGGCCAACCGGGCTCGCATTCGCTTTTTCTCTCTTGTCTTATAATCCTGCAAGTCTGCATACCATCCACCACAGCCCACCATGTTCTGGCGTACCAAGAACCCCTATGCACCCGCCGGCAAAGTAAGTTCATCTCCACCCCTTCTCGATAACATTCACAGCTCATACGCTGAACAGCACTGCTATGTCACCGGTGGTACCCAAGGTCTCGGGAAAGCCCTCGCCATCAGTCTGGTCAAACAAGGAGCCCACGTCACTATCGTAGCGAGGGATGCAGACCGAGGGGAGGCGGCCGCGAAAGAACTACAAGTAAGTCGTTCATCATACCCTCATCATACCCGAGAGAGAGATTTGAGCGTAATGTGTGTTCGTGACTGATATGGTCACTCAGGCTCTTGGGAAATCAACCCAGATCATACAGTTCATCTCTGCCGACCTCTCCTCGGCAGATGAATCCGACCGAGCGTTGCGCGATGCGCTGGTGCCGCATCAAGGTCTTGCGCCGGAATACACTTTTCTTTGTGCGGGTTTTGCGCAACCAAAGTATTTTGTGGAATATACGAAAGAAGAGATCCAATCGGTACGTTCATTCCTATCCTCCCCCCCGCTTCAAAAGGCGGAGGAAGGGAGATGGAGCTGACGGAGAAATCGAAAACAGACAATGTCCGGCAACTACCTCACCTCAGCATACACAGCCCACTCCCTCCTCTCCCTCCTCATAACCCAGCACCGCCACGGCCGCTTAACATTCGTATCCTCCTTCGCCGGCCTCACCTCCTACGCGGGCTACTCTACCTACTCGCCCTCCAAATTCGCCGTCCGAGGACTCGCGGACGCGCTCCGATCAGAGATGCAGTTGCATGATGGGATACGGGTGCATTTGTTTGTGCCGTGTGGGATTTTGAGTGAGGGGTATGAGAGGGAGATTAAGACGACGCCGGGGATTACGAGAAAGATTGAGGAGGCGGATACGCCGCTTGTGCCGGAAAAGTGTGCGGCGGCTTTGGAGCTTGGTATGTCTTTGTTCCTCTTCTTCCCTTCCCCTTTGTCTCTGGTACACGACAGCTGATGTAAAGTATAGGCCTGAAGAAGGGGCACTACCAAATAACAGACAACGTCCTCACCGACATCGTCCGTCTTCGTACAAACGGCGGTGTACCATCCAACAATTTCATCTTTGATCTCTTCTTCTTGTTCCTCTCCACTGTACGTTTTTCTCTCTTCTACAAGCCTGAATTTGGAGCATTGGAAATTGAAGGAGAAGGGATGGAAGAGCTGATGGATGGAATGTAGTTTGCAGTCCCGATCTGGAGGATGATGTGCGATTCGACAGTCCGCGCTGCGCGGAAGACTATCCATCAAGAATACGCCCAGAGAGGGTTCTTTCAAGGATCGGGTACGGGTTCTGCTGTCTAGTGCTGATCGCCATCAGGGGTATTTGTGTATAGATGTTATTGAGTTGTGATAATGGTCTCGTCTGGATGTTTGTGTCTAGATATTCCACGCGTTGATCAGGAAGGCAAAAAGATTCATTCCAGCTGATTCGGATGACATGTGCACTCCATTCAATTTCTCTACTGCCATTGTATATCCCCTGGAAGATAGATTCACAGACACCTATGATACTTATCTTCACTCCCAAGTGCCCCATGTCCTTCCTCACTTCAGCCCCATCGCCTGCCTCGCTCCTCCCTCGAACGACTTTTGCCGCGCATCGTTGCAAGACCAAAGACCATCCTCGATCGAAGCCACATACTCTGAGAGCCTTTTGGAGTAATACTAAACTCTCCTCTCGCCCTCTCGGCTGCTGCCCCGTAAATACCTCCAACATGGGAGGTTCCAGCCAGACGACTTTCACCACCCGAGGTCCATCCGAAAGCTCACCATCCTGCTCCTCCTCCTCCTCCTCCGTGTGTCTCCATTCGTCCTTGAAGGACACTTGATTGGCGGTAGAGTATGCTGCCTCGGTGACTAGACGAACGAAGCTCGTAAAGATTCGTATCTTGCACAAAGTCCTCCGCGATCGTGTCTAGACCTAGATGAATAAGAGATGTTGGACGGAAAAGCGAAAAGATTGATTGATTGATCGTCCTATGAATCGAGTTGTCATAAGAGTCTTGGGAGCGTCTGTGCCTTCTCATCCATTTGGGAGTGTCATCTGTGACTCGACACACGACACTTGCCTTGGGGAGGTAATACATACTAGCCCCCAGGCATTGATCGTCGACTCCCTTCCATCCTCCTCGATAGAGATTGGCCCTCTTACCAACCTCCTCAAGGGCTGAATGACTTTGGTGGTGAAAGCGCTCTTGATAGTTCCAGGCAATACTTTAGGGAGCTTCTCTACACTCGTTGCACTTTTGACAGCGCGCGCCAACCTATCTGCGTACCACATAGTCGAGTGGATCCAAAGGCTGATTATTCGGCACCCTGCAGCGTTCCCACCATCCTCCAGAAAGTCCTTGACGTTCGGGTAAAAAAAAAAAAAACATTCGAAAAGTGAATGACCACGAGTCTCTAGTAGTGTTATAGACATGGTACATGATCTCGGAGAGCTCGCTCTGCTGTCTTGTTTGAGCGTGATAATTATAGTCGCGAAATGCTGTCGATGGGATCACCCCATCGGGGCAGTGGGGGTTTTGTGTCACACGTAGTAATTCCCTCCCAGCTAGGCCGTGACAGTTTGTCTTGCAATTCTTCGCACACTCGAACGAACTTTCAATATTTGTACGTGTACGCGTTTTCATTCGATTATCGTGGGACGTCGTCGTCCTTTTTGTCAAAAGAAGAGTATTGGTAACTGTATGTATGATGTTGAAGGAAGGATGATGATCTGCTGGTCGTTTTCGTGAGTGAGATTACATGCACGGTTTCATTCTCTGTCTTCTTGTCTCTACTTGTCTTCTTCTACAGTCTACGCCTGGAAAGCTAAGGACAAATACCCCGTCGTTGACCACGCATATCGTATCAAAAGACAGTATACCCTTCAACCCATCATCAGCCCCAGCTCCCCACCCCAAGAAGACGAAAAAAACAAAAAAAAAAAACAAAAACCTACCTCCGTCCACAACGACATCACTCCCCACCATAAACCCGCCCCCACCCATCTTCTCTGACAATAAAACCGCGATGAATTCACCGATCTCGGCGGGGGAGGCGAAGCGGCCGACGGGGGTACGTTTCTCCCATTCGGAGACCCAGGAGGCGGCGGTGGCGTCGGGGGAGAGGCGATCATGTCTGTTGATACGTAGCCCTAGGTATAGTAGGTCAGGGTGGAGAGCGTTAAGAGGGGAGAGAAGGGTAGGGAAGGTGAAAGGGACTTACGGGGGAGACAGAATTGACAGAAATACCTAGATGCGACCATTCGCCCGCCAAAGACTGTATCCGAGCTCATTAGCCCTCCATCCCTTTGTCCATACCATAACAACGATGGAGAGAGACAGAGAGAGATAATAACAACACACCTTGGCCATCATGGTCACCGCCCCCTTACTAGCGTTATACGCCGTCTGTCTCTGCGGGTTCATAGCGACCAAAGCGGAGATGCTGGATACGAACAAAATCTGTTTTTTAAGGTTGAGGCCTTTGATGCTGGGGATGTCGAGGTCCTCTTTGCTGGGAGAAGAAAAAGAGGAGGAGGAGGAGGAGGATACGGGGATGGGGAGGTGGAGCCATGAGCGGACGAGGGCGCGGGAGAGGTAGTAAGGGTGGTAGGTGTTGACGGCGAATATGCTTTGGATGTCGGCTGTGATCATCGGTTAGATATTGGCGGGAGAGGTGAGGGAAGACTTGCCGTCAGTGTTCTCATGAGCGTCTTTCCATAAAGACACGCCTGGACAGTCATCAGCTCATACACCATCAAAAAAGAAGGATGACTCACCGGCATTAGCCACTCCAATGTCCACCTCCTTCCCAAACACCTTCCCCACCTCCCCCACAACCCGATCCACCTCCTCGCTCTCTGTCACCTCACATTTGAAAGCCTTGACTGTGACACCATACTCGTTGCTCAGCTTGTCGGCGACGGGAGAAGCGTCGGTGGATGTGTATGTGATGGCGAGGTCCGCGCCGGCTTGGGCAAGGGCGGTGGAGATGGCGAGGCCGATACCGCGTCCGCCGCCTGTGATGAGGACGAGTTTGTTGCTAAAGTCGATTGTAAGGGGCATCGTGTATGGGAGGGAGAGGGAGAATTACGGGCGATATAAGGCGACATCTGGTCCCGTGGTCAGCACTAATCAGCAGGCAAAGTTACGGACCGAGCCGGACCGAGATAGGGTAAAACCCCCATCTATTGCGGGGCAGCCCACTTTTTGCATGCATTAGTATGAGAGCGGGAGCAAATAATTGGCATAATCTGGGCTGATAATCAGCTCGGTTCCCAAAAATGCGGCCCGGCGCCGCCGTTGGAGCCGAGGCAGAGTCGTTCAGGAAATCGTTCACCAGGAATTAACAGAAGGCCTATAAAATCCCTTCACGTATCCCCCCCCTGTTTCTCCACCATCCCACCATGACCATCGCCGTCAACTCCATCCCCGCGACCAAATACGAAGCCCACTACGACCCCAAGAAGGTCCTTACCCATCCAGACTTCAAGATCCTCGAAGAAGGGGCGCCGGAATTGGACAGCAGAGAGGAGAATATAGCGTGTACTTATAATCCACAGCATGAGGTGAAGATGGTGAGGAAGGGGAAGGTGGAGCCGGGGGAGGGGGAAGTGACAGTGCATGTGAAGGCGACGGGGATTTGTGGGTAAGTCCGGATCATTGGGCAGGGGGTGGGATGGGGGCCTGCGAGCGCAGCGAGCAGTATATCCTTCGAGCAAAGCCAGTCGTTGGGAAGGGGGTGGGATGGGGGCCTGCGAGCGCAGCGAGCAGTATATCCTTCGGGCAAAGCGAGTATTCGTTGGGTGGGGGTACTCTTTGGTGGTGGCCGGGGTGGCGGTGGGGCCAGTATACTTGCGGAGGGGTGGGCGGGCGGGCATTCGAGCAACAGTGCTTACACACACCCAGATCCGACGTCCACTTCTGGCGACACGGCGCCATCGGCCCCACCATGATCGTCTCTGACACTTGCGGCGCCGGCCACGAGTCTGCCGGTATCATCACCAAGATCGGCCCTGGCGTCACCCAATGGTCTGTCGGCGACCGTGTTGCCATCGAAGCTGGTGTCCCCTGTGGCTTGGCTGACTGTGGACCTTGCTTGACTGGGCGGTACAACGCTTGTAAGTTCTCTTCTTCTACAGGCTACGGAATTGAAAGGCTAATGAAGTTCCAGGCCCCTCGGTGGTATTCTTCTCTACCCCACCATACCACGGCACCCTCACCCGATTCCACAACCACCCCGCCGCATGGCTCCACTCCCTCCCCGACAACCTCTCATACGAAGAAGGCTCTCTCTGCGAGCCCCTCGCCGTTGCCCTCGCAGGACTTGAGCGCGCTGGTGTCCGTCTCGGCGACCCCATCGTCATCTGGTTCGTCTTCCTTCCTTCCGCTTACTTATTTCTTATACTGACTTTCGTGTAGCGGTGCAGGCCCCATAGGTCTCGTAACCCTCCTCTCCGCCCACGCGGCAGGCTGCACCCCAATCCTCATAACCGACCTCCTCCCCTCCCGCCTCGCTTTCGCCCAATCGCTCGTTCCTTCCGTCATCCCCGTCTTGATCGACAGGCAAGACACGCCTGAACAAGTTGCGAGCAGGATTAAGGAGAAGGCGGGTGTGGAGCTTGGGCTGGCGGTGGATTGTACAGGGTTCGAGAGTAGTATCAGGGCGGGGATTTATGTGTGTTTTCCTTTTGTGTTTTATGGTTGGGAAGAGAGCTGATGGAGATGGTAGAGTGTCAAGTTTGGTGGAAAAGTCTTTGTAATCGGCGTCGGTCCTTCCGAACAAAGCGTAAGCCCCCTACCCCCCCTCCCATCCCCTTGCTCCCCACTCACGTTGTTGTACTAGTACCCATTCGGCTACTGCTCCGCCAACGAAATCGACCTCCAATTCCAATACCGCTACGCCAACCAATACCCCAAAGCCATCCGCCTCGTCTCTTCCGGCCTGATCAACCTTAAGCCGCTGGTGACGCATAGGTTTGAGTTGAAGGATGCGTGCAAGGCCTTTGGGGTGGCGGGGGATCCGAAGGCGAGGGCTGTTAAGGTGCAGGTGCATGATTAGGCGAGCTTGGGAGACTTTGGGGAAGGGGGGGGGGGGGGGGGGGGGGGAGTGTAGATATACGTATGGG